GTGCGTGTGTGTCTGTGTGTGTGTGTGTGTGTTGTGAGCAGGTATGGAGGAGCTCTGCAGAACCTGACTCTCAAGCTTCCTGTCACCATCAACAAGTTCTTCCAGCCAACTGAAATGTCCTCCAGTGACTTCTTCCAGCGCTGGAAGCAGCTGAGCCAGTAAGTGTTGGAGCAGAGCTGAGCAGCACGTGACGTTCGCACACTTGTGTGTACACGTTCTGCATGCTTTTACATTTGACTGTGTGGCTCCAGTTTCTTCCATCAGCCTTATTGTGCCTGTGACTGGTGGTACTACACCCCGAGTCTCTGGTCCTGCTTCACCTTTCCACTGGTGATGCTTTTGTAATGCAGCAACAGGAAATACAGTTTGTCAGTCACTTGCTGGTGCTGTTAATCAGTTGGCACAGCTGGGGTCACGTGACTGTAGGCATGATATGTGAACCAGCTTTAAGCCCGTGTGTCATTGGGGACTTTCCCCCTGAAAGTTCACAGTTCATTTGTAAGGAAGACCTTTGCTGATGGCTGATGTAGCAGATGTGATATGTTACTGTGAATTTTGCATTTCATGAGAAGCTAAACACTCGAGTGTTTGGTGGTTCAGGCTTTAAAGGCTTGAACTCGCCTGGGCTGCACCTCTCCCATCACGTGTAACTGTAGAGCGTCTCTCCTTAGGCCTCAGCAAGAAGCACAAAAGATTTTCAAGGCAAACCACAGCATGGACACTGAAGTACTGAAGGCCAAGGTAGGACCATGTTTGATGCGTTTGTCAAGGCAAACACTAAAGCTGCTGTCTCATGGTTGCACATGGCTATTCTTACTGTTCAGGTGTGAAGCAGGCGTTTATGATGGTCTCTGTTGATGTCCGAGGCTTCATAGACCTTTGCTAGTCCCAGATTGTCTTGTTCCTGTTTGTGATTCTTTGTGTTTGCTGATGTTTGTGTAGCTTCTGGGACTGGGAACGGCCCTGCTGGACAACATTGACCCCAACCCAGAGAATTATGTGTGCGCTGGAGTGATCCAGACCAAGGGCCAGCAAATTGGCTGCCTGCTGAGACTGGAACCGAACGCACAGGCACAGGTACAGGTACAGAGGGTCCCGAGTCTCGTCTAAGTGAGAAGCACTGCTGGCTGCGACGCTTGGGTCCGTGCTTCCCTGTTGTTTGCTCACTCTGTGTCTCTTCCTGTGTGCAGATGTACCGTCTGACTCTGCGCTGCAGCAAAGACACTGTGTCAAAGCGTCTCTGTGAGCTGCTGGCCCAACAGTTCTAGAGTCCACGCCTCCATGTGACCAGTACTCCTACCATCCCCACCAGCGACCTCTCCCTCAGACCTGCCGCACCTCCCCTCCTTCCTCCAACAGAGAATCAGAGTAAAAAACCAAGAGTGTAACCTACATAAGGGAAAAGCAGCCGCTGCCAGCAGCAGCAATATTAATGTCATTCTTCCTGTTCCACATTCTGATTCTAGTTCATCCTCTACTTGTTTATTAACATAATGCTACATTATTGTTTTTGTTGGTTTACCTGTGTGTGTGTGTGTGTGTGTGCGCGTGCGTGCGTGCGTGCGTGCGTGCGTGCGTGCGTGCGTGCGTGTGCGTGCGCAGGAGAGAGAGTGCATGTGTCCCACGGTTGTGGCTGGGGTCTCATTCTGCTCCATACAGACTGTGTGACGTAGTAATGCTGTGTGTGAGACATCGATTCGTTTATAGGACATTCCTTTAAGACCCTGCTAATGGCTCACCTGCCAACCTCTGCTTGCCTGGAGAGAGAGTGCATGTGTCCCACGGTTGTGGCTGGGGTCTCATTCTGCTCCATACAGACTGTGTGACGTAGTAATGCTGTGTGTGAGACATCGATTCGTTTATAGGACATTCCTTTAAGACCCTGCTAATGGCTCACCTGCCAACCTCTGCTTGAGCCTGTGGGACCTGGCAGTGAGCTGGTCTAGCATTCCCCCTGAAGAAGCACTTGAAGTGTTGGGGATGGCCTTTGAGGCACAGGCTCCTCCCCTCCGATTCCTCCCCCGTTCGTTTCCCACACACAATGTTCTCATTGAACTTATGTGTCGGTAAATGAATTGAATGCTTCCCAGACATTCCCATCAGCTCGTTTAGATGCTGATCATTTCATCCATCGTGAACAAAGTGAAGACTGCAGATAATCGGTGACCAGACCAGCAGCGACCCATCCATCTCCTTGAACGTGGTTCAGGTTTTGATTGAAAGCTTGGGGAGGCCAGCAGCCTGCCAGGTGTGCACAGTTTTCATTTGACTCCTGTACGACTGAAGCTTGTTTTTTCAAAGCTTGTCTCAAAGTAAAATCACGCCCCCACAGATGAGACCAAATCTTTTTCAAAAGGTGTTTGAACACCACGCTTTAGTTTTCCAAGACAGAACTGGCTACCTGTTTCCCCACTGCTGAAGAAGCGCCGTGCAATGGTGGGCTTATGGATAAGACCAGTCCAAACAGGGACTGTGGTGTGGGCTGCTGCAGCCGTGCTGCTTTGGCTTTCTTTTGTTTTATTCTCCAGAGAAATGCACCGCCTTAATTGGGATTGAAGTAAACATACATGGATGCATCGAATTTACCCCGTGGATCCCAAAGTTTGTGCTGGGACAGAGAAGCTCTCTACACACGTAGCAACATCCCAGCTGCGACACAGATTTCAGTCTGGTCAGCCTAACGTTACAGAATAAATCTGGTGTTTACACAAACAGCTGATATTCAGAAGTTGCTCATATCCAGCTGTGGATCTCTGAAATCCACAACTCGTCCCGGCTGTTGTGTCATAATCAGCACTGATGTTCCCGGAGTACAGAATGTTAGAAGACACCCAGATGTCCAACACAACTTGTGTGTGTGTGTGTGTGTGTGTGTGTGTGTGTGTGTGTGTGTGTGTGTGTAAGTAACCAGGTAAGAAAAAGAGCCTAAAGACATTTCTAATACATGGTCACATAATCTTCTGTGGCTGCACAGCAATCACAGGACATAGAACTTTGTAGTGGAAAACGTAGTGATTTTGTCATTCTGTGCGTGTGTGTACATGAGTTTGTGTGCGTGTCTATGCAGTATCCACTAGCTAATGCAGCCTCATATATTGGTGTTAGGAACCTGTCCAATACCTGTGTTAGATTACAAGATTTACTCTGTAATGAAAAAATGTGAAGTAAAATTATGCCATATATATCCAAACTGATGCTTCCTGTCTCGTCACACTGACACAGTCTTCCTATATGAATGGCAGCCAGGCACAGGGGGCCACAAGCCAGTGCGCTGCTAGTGTCTGCACATGCCCGGATAAATGGGGAGGGTCCTGACGTAACATGCAGATCAGCTTGTTTTGGTTTTTAAACGCCTGAACGCTCTCTAGCATTCACACTCTGCATCAGAAAGCAACCTGGGATTCAGACTGGAGTGGGATTAAAGTGATGATGAGATCACCTGATCTACCTGCCTGAGCTGCAGCCAATCAACAATCACCTGTGGTGCTGCTGGCCAACAGTGCACATGCAGAGATGGGACAAAGTACTGACGGCTGTATGAGACTGGACAATGAGGTGGGAGAGAAGGACGTATCTTTATACACTGATTGCAGACATGATGGAAATGTTAAGAAAACGGAAGGATTACTTCATCTTCTTCATGCTCATTTATCCAGCTAAGTAAATCCCCAACAGCTGATTCTGGCTGTGAGCTCAGTTCCTTGATCATTAACATGCAAAGGAACTGAGCTCACATTGTTCAGTGGGCTGGTTTCAGTCATTGTGCAAATGTCCTGTTTCTAAGGTTGAAACCTGCAATCACTGAGACTGAAGAAGCCACCTGATGATGATGATGATGATGAAACGTTTCTCCACTGAAAGCGTCCAGATGAACAGAATCAACTTTTGGGGATTACTTCCATCATCTTCCTCCGTTCATGAGGAGCAGCTCATGAATGGACGTCCAGAGTAAGCAAGAAGTCTGGGTGGAAAGCCAACTGGTCCAAATCCATATGGAGGTAGAGGGATTTCTGAGTGAGAAGGCAGTAGGCTTTGTAGCCAGACTCATCCCTGAGACTGAAGCCATACCCAAGCCATGGAGAAGGAACCAGGGCATTTGTGTGATTGTCTCAGTCCTCAGGAATGTTTTCCCTAAATTCTTGGGGATCAACATATTTATTCTTTTTATTTTTTGGCAGATGTGAGAGAAGCTTTTGCATCGATTTTGGTCAGCAGTGATTTTCACCTTGGACCTCTCCTGTCGATGGTAGAAAGTTCCACAAGTCACCCGTAACTGCTATTCTGCAAAGGTGTCAGTCCCCTCAGAATCACAATCACGATTATTGGCCAGGTGTATGCGCAAACACAAGGAGTTTGGTTCTGATCGATGGTGTCTCTCAAGCACAACAATGTAAAACAATATGTAAACGACACGGTACACACACGCAAATATACAGGATTACAGAAATAAATACCACGGAGTCTGCATTAAGTGCAGTTGCAGTCTAGCAGTGTGACAGTTTAACTTTTTAGGAGGGAGATGGCGAGGGGAAAGAAACTTCCTGTGTCGGGGGGTCCTGGTCTGCAGGCTTCTGCACCGTCTGCCAGCAGGTCAAAGAGTCTGTGTCCAGGGTGTGAGGGGTCTGTGATGGTCTGCCCGTTTCCTGGTTACTGAGAGGTCACCCCAAAGAGCTGATAAACCTACTCTGTACATGTTTGACATCGAGCTCATTAACAGCAGTAACTTACTTACCCTGGGTCTACGTGCAGAAATGTTCGGCAAAGCAAGGAAATGGGATCCAGGCTGGAGGATTAGAGTTACCAGAAGCAAAAGTAAGTGGGTATACAGCACAGCTACAAGTACCCGAGTATCTTGCAGGGCAATCACGATGAAGATGATGACAGACGGGAGAAGTGCCTGACATCAAGAAATCTTATCAGTAGCTAGAAAAGGTAGATCTACAGCACGGAGGCTGTCAACAGGATCCACGTTTCAGGCTGGTTGTGCAAAGGATGCTCCAGAGACGGTTCAGTGTAGTAATAGGATGCAAGCTGGGATACCTTTCACAACGTGAGGAGATCTTAGGTCTTAGTAGTATTAGGAACCTGCACATCTTCAGGGCACAGAGTGCAGACCAGGAACAGCTAAGATGCTGTGCAGAACCATCAAATGCTGCAAACCAATCCGCATGGTTTAAATTAGCATAGAAAGGTGGTAAAGAGTAGAAGAATGCAGGTTAACACCAGAGGGGGAGCAGTTAGCAGCATGCGGACAGGCAAACCTCGGCTGGTTATCCGCCATCAAAGCCTCTCAGTCTCATGTGCAGTGAGATGTTGCACTGTCAGGATACTTTGTTCATCCTCAGGGACATCATGTGGGTCACGGTTGCTCCACTACAGCAGCAGTAACACAAACAGGAGGTCAAAGCCGCTACTGCAGTAAGTACACAGGCCAGATGTGACTGGAGTGAACGTCATGTGCTGCAGCACTCACACTGGTGTCTGTGCTGCTGAGGCGGCCCCACGGACAGCTGCGTCTGCGCGTGTCAAAGTGCGGCGGCGCAGTGATTGGCTGAAAATGACATCATCCAGTCCAGATCTATTGTTGGAAAGTTGATGAGCTCATCGTTGAGAATCCAGTGTGAGAAACACAGTGAGGAGGAAGGAGGACCTCGCTGCAGCGCAGCAGCTGACACCTCAGTAAGTACGCGTGGATACAGCACGGATGCACCGTGGTGCAAAAGAGGAAACGCACACTGTTTGAATATTTGTCTTCTAAGAACTGGTCACAGGACGTTTCACGCAGCGGATTTCTTTCCTACGGGTGTCGCCTGTGGTGCTGCAGGTATGGTCTTGTCTCGGGACAGAGAGATGGAGCGGCCCCCGCTGTCCGTCATCCTACCGCAGCTCTACCTCGGAGCAGAGAGCGACGTGACGCAGGTAGGAAGAGGACCCGTGCTGTCGCTATCAAAGACATAATGTCGCAATAACAGCTCCTGTGCAATGCTCTCACACAGCACAGCAGCACACGCGTGGCTGATGTGGACATTAAATAACATGAACTTACAGCTGCGCATGCTCACGTAAATCTGTTGCCTACTGAGCAGATCATTACTTCATGTGCAATATTATTATATTACCTTATTTTTAAACAATTCAAATATTTCACAAATTACGTGTGAAATATTTTTCTTAAGCACTTTGAGTGATTCTTTAATTTGTAACAAATAAAAAAATAGTGAAGTAAAAAGTTAAAAGTGCTCTAAACAATTACCAACATTAATATGTACACAGAGATGATCACAGTTTATATGTGAGGTAGAGCACAGACAGCCAAGTTTCACTGTGAACTCTCGTACAGCAGAAACAAAGCGTGTGTGTGTGTGTGTGTGTAGGACCAGCTGGCCTCGCTGGGTATCTCCTATGTGCTGAGTGTGAGTCGCTGTAGCCCCCAGCCCTCCTTCCTGCCTGGTTCCAGGTATCTCCGCATTCCTATTGATGACTCTCTGTGGGATAACCTGCTGCCCTGGATCCCACAGGCTCTGCATTTCATTGGTAAGGCCTCACTCTCACATTACAGCAATAGAACAAGATTACCTCAGATTTCTAATGCACATGATCACTAAACACTCACCATGTTGTCATCATTGTGTTTGAACAATGCTTTACTTCTGTGACAGTGCAAGACGTTTGCATTCACGGCTCTATGCAGTCGGTTGAGTTAGCAGTGGCAATACGATAGAAGCTGCAGGCTATGAACCCTCATGCACAAGTCATGACGTTGTTTTTTAGATTTATTTTCATCTATCCATCTTCATCCGCTTTATCCGGGGCCGGGTCGCGGGGGCAGCAGCCTAAGCAAAGAGGCCCAGACCTCCCTCTCCCCAGCCACCTCCTCCAGCTTATCCGGGGGAATACCAAGGCGTTCCCAGGCCAGCCGAGAGATATAATCTCTCCAGCGTGTCCTGGGTCTGCCCCGGGGCCTCCTCAATTTTTAAATATTTATTATTGAATTTTTGTTTTCAAAAATGTAATTTGCAGTGTGGTTAGCTTTAGCCAATACAGCAGCTCTGTGTCCCGCTCGGCTGACTGTCACTATGCACTGTGTGTTCAGACGTAGCCATGTCGTCGGGGGCTTCGGTGCTGGTGCACTGTGCAGCAGGAATCTCCCGCTCCCCAGCTCTGGCTGTTGCCTATGTCATGTACAGTCTGGAAATGGACCTGGACCATGCTTACAGGTATGGCTAGTAGCACAAATTCATCCTGCAGAGGGGACTGAGCTCAACTTTGTCAAATAACATAAGAACACTGAAGAAGCCTTATTGATTTCCTTTCTAAAGCTGAACATGAGTTATTTAACTTACAGCTATCAGAGGTTTTCTGGCACTTTCACCACTCCGGTGAAATGAAGTTAACTCTGCTTATGAGTTTAAGTATTTGTGGTCTTGACAGTTGGAGACTTTTACCCATGAAAGACTTTCTCTAAACAGTCCACAGCACATGGTATTCACACTTTTATCTACAACAGTCAACAACTCCAGAGAACAATGGATGCACACCTTTGTAAAGGAACCAGTATACATAAGTCATGTTTTAGGACTTCTCCTCTCAAAGACCCATATTTTGATATACATCAGAGGATCCAGATATTCCTGCCTTAACAAGTATTCACATGCAGTTGTTGGAAATGTTTATCTTGCAGGCTGCAGTTGTTTCCTTCCCAGCTGTGTAAATCTGCACCTGTCTTAATCTTGACAGATCTCCTTTGTCCCACTGTTCTGAGTCTCGATGCATTAGGCTTGTCAGAGGAAACGAGCAGATGTAGTCAGTCCTGATCAATAACAAGAAGGCTTTGTGAAGTTACAAGACATTATAGCAGCTTGAACACTTGCTAAACCTCTGTTAGCGTATGTATGCACTCTATATCAGCATTATCGAGACATTCAGTACACTCCAATGAGCATCTATTCACCTGTTATTCCTGTTTATTGTCGTACAGCCTGTAATACTGTGGTAACTGTCCCTGTAGCTCATTGCAGAGTACTACCTAGACTCAGTGTGACGTGTGAAATACTAGCAACAATAACCCACATCCTTTCTGTCCCCTTATAAGGTTTGTGAAAGAGCGCCGGCCCTCCATTTCCCCAAACTTCAACTTCCTGGGTCAGCTGCAGCACTTGCAGGGTGCTCTGAGCCAAAAGTCGCGTGGCCACGACCTCCTCATCCAGCAGCTGGCCAGTTGCCTGCCACCTGCTAACGACAGTGTGAACCTCTCTCACAGCAGTCAGAACAGTAACTGTCAAGCTAAGAGCGTCACCGCAGACTCAGCTCAGCACAAAGACAAAGCCCAGCAGAGACGCTGGCTGTCAGAGAGCCCTGACAACAAGCAGCAGCAACTGCGGGCTCCTGAGTTGCCTCCCCATCGTGACCTGCAGCCTGTGCAGAAACCATCGGAGGTTTCAGCTTCCCGTCCCTGTGAGCCTATCAACCCAACACTAAAGGCCACCCAACTACAACTCCCATCAGGCTCTGCTTCTCTCTTAGAGAAACGTAAAAGCCTTACCCTCTCTTTGACCCCTTTGGGAATATGCCCTTCCTCCACAGCAAACGAGAGGCAACAAGAAAAAATGGTCGAGAGCAGGAAGACTGGCGAGAGCGCCGAGGTGAAGAGTTACCCTGGCTCCTACAGGCAGGCAGAGGCTATCCACAGGAAGCAGCGTCTCTCTGTCAGCCAGCACAGCAGAGCTGAGGTCAAGGAAAAGGGCCTGCTCTCACCTTTCAGCGTCACTCTCAACAAGCTGCTGGGTTGGGGGGAAAGGATACTGCTAGGAGGTGTTTTTGTGCACCCTGTGCAGGTGGGACAGCCCGCACTGCCTTACAGGTGCTGAGGATACAAGGAAGCAGGTGGAAGGAGTTATCTGTGCATGTTTGTCAGAAGAAACCAAACTACACAGCTGATGTGCACGTGTAGTGAAAGAACTAATGTCTATTTATTTATTTATTTGTTGCAGAGTTGAATCTAAATGAGCTGAAAACACAAAAAGCACCCGTTTATCATATTGTACTTTGTCATATTGTTGTTTATCATATTGTTGTTTATCATTGCACAGCGATCCCTGTTTCTGTTGTTTTTAAATGTAGTTGTTGAAAGGCTTTTGCCACAATGGTTTGTAATGTATTTACTGACGAATAAAGAGGACATTTTAACCATGTGTGTTTGCCTGTTTCTCAGTGTGAAGGGACTCGCCAGCCTCTCCACCCAGTAAGCAGAGGGTTGCATAGAAACACAAGCATGCAGTGCTTTGAAGTGCCACAGTGAGCCAAGACTTTGGAGGTTTGCTAAAAAACTATTTGGACAAATATTCGTGTCAAAGCAGATCGGACCACAGTGGGTTTAAAAGCAAGTATGTGGATAAAGGGCAGACTTTCAGCTTGCATTCGAGGGCTTTAACAAAAGTGTAGTGTGAACAGGAACTGCATCCACTTTTATACAAGTTCCCACTTTGAGAGGCTCACAAATAACTGGGCGAACTAACATAGTGCAAATCCGTTTCCTGCCAGGTCTTTACCTCAGCGCCCTCAGCTGTTGCTTCTTTGTGCATCTTTAACAACACTGCAACCATTGAGCATGTCCTATTTAGTTGTGTTGCTGCTTTGCTTCAGGCCGTTTTCATTGTGAAGCTGCGCAGTATCACTTCACTGCGTGTTTACTTTGCCGTAACACACCTTCGGGATTTTCCACGCTGGAATTTCAGACGCTTCATTGTGTTATTAAAGCAGTTTGGTTCAGTTTCAAAGGGCGAATAACATCTTGTACAAAGTTTCACATCCGTTTAATCAGTGTCGTAAGTTCTCACGCTGCACGGGCACGTCTGTTAGGTAGGAATGATGTCGTCACGGATGCTCCGGTGACCGAATAAGGAAGCTGACACCCGAAAGATTAGTTTCAGAGTAGTTTTTAATTTGAAGCAGGCGAAGGCTGCCGTGTGTTTGTCCTCGCGTGGGGAAAGTCACCGCCGCCTCTGACATCAGTGTGATGTAGTTGCTGCTGTAGTTTCTTGAGGAAAGAGAAAAGAGGAAGCAGTTCCGCCCAGAAGCTGACTGGAGGCCGACGAGAAAAGAGGCGAAAAAAGAAAAGAAAAGGCGACGGCGATCTGCTACAGTCCCGCTGTAAGGCCCAACTCAAAGCAGACCCGTCGGTGCGTGTTATTGTGCTGCGTGGACAGTGGGACTCCGTCAGGACTTTGCTTTACAGGTGTGGCCCCGAGTCCGTCGTTCGCACACCAAACTTCAGTTTTGAAAACCGTCCATGTTGGTGTCTCCTTACAGTTAGCAGGCTTGCTGCGAGACCGGGATTTAACGCGCCCTGAGGTCCTGTTGTGAGCTCGGAGAGGTTCTGGTCCGGACTGAAAATGAGTGGAGACGAGGAAAGATTCAAACTGGTCGTTGTGGGGGGAGGAGGAGTGGGAAAGAGCGCCCTTACCATCCAGTTCATCCAGGTACTGACTCCACAACACGTGTAGAACATACTGTGGACCTCTCTGTAGGTTAATGCGTCGATCCACTGGTGGTCGATCCACTGGTGGGTCGTTATTGAGCGGTTATTTCCACGAACTCAACCTTGTCAAGGTTCAACAAGTGACCTGCATTTGGAACAGATGAGCTGTTGGTGGTTAATGGTTCACCACTAAAGTCTTATTCAGCTGTTGAGCAGCAGTTAAACTAAAACAAACACCAGCAGGCTTCTCCCTCCAGATGAAGTCATTCATTGTTAGAATCACAATAAAAGCAGTCAAGACTTTAGTTACGCATCTGAAACCACCTCTGCTCATATTTAACTTGTGTATCTGTACTTGATGGTGCTTGACTGCTGCAACAGTGTTTAGCCTGGTGTTGGTAAACTGATGTACTGAGGGAGGAAACAGAAGGATGTAAACTTTGCTGGGTATAAATGACAGGTTACTGTTAGATGACGGCTGGGGAACATCGTGATGTCACAACCTCCAGGGACAAAGTTGAGCAGGAGTGCCAAGTTTAGGTTGCTCAGTTCCTGATCATACAGGAGAGTAGATGGAGAAAGAAACAGGGGTTATCTATGAAACACAGTATAGTGTGACAGTAGATTTCCATTTGAAATATTTTTAAATACTTAAACTCTAAACATGTTACCAGTGCACTTCAGTAAGTTGGGTACCTTCCACCCCGGTTCTGTTAATGTGTCGCTGGGAATTGTTCCGTTCTGAGTCGGTGCTTCTGCTTCCACACTGTATGGTAAGTTTCTTCATTACCTCGGGCAAGCTTTTGTTGCACTCTGTTTAACACAGAAAGGTCTGCATTAAACTGGCTGCCTAATGAACGGCTGTAGTACAGTCACTGAGCACTGTAGCAGTAAATAGTGGATTATAGAACACTGAAGGAGAAGTACGGACGTGGTTACATATTCAGTCTAAACTTAATAATTCTCTGGGCACTTTTCATCATTTTTGCTGCGTCACTTTTGTTCTCGCCAGCTGTGAGTAATATAAATAAATGCCTGTTAGGCACTAGGCTTGGTTATGAGAGGTGTAAAACAAGCCAAGCTGTTCACAGTGTAGTGTTGATGTTAATAACTCGGAGTGTGTTCCACAGTCGTACTTTGTGTCCGACTACGACCCCACCATTGAAGACTCCTACACCAAGATCTGTACCGTGGATGGAAAGGAGACCCGGCTTGACAGTAAGACATTACACTGGAGATATACATGTCCTAATTCACACAGTGTCAGAGTAATTGCAGGGTTTGGAAAAAACTTTGTGTGAAAACAAAGGGTGTGTTACATTGTGATGTGATAGAGGCAGTGTGTTTGCTCTCTGGATGTTTCATTTCCCTTGTTAGGACTTGTTAGTGGGCTGGTGCTGTCAGGGTGGTGTGCTGGGCCACGCTGTTCTTTCACCACTTATTTGTGAATCATCAGACGCAGCAGAGGTGCTGTTTGTAAGACTCTTCCTCACCCTTCACAAACATCACACTTACCCTAATTGATACAGTTTAGCGATTTTTTTTTTTGGTGAATGCAACAGTAGAGAATCGGTTTTAGTGAAACCACTAAGAAAAACACTTGTTTCCTTAGTGGGTGATTTTTATAACACAGAACAAGTGAAACTTCAGCTTAATGTTACAGATGTTCTGTTAGCAGTATAGGTCACCATGTATACACTATATTTGGAAAAGGTTTATTCTGTTCATCTGGACGTTTTCAGTGGTGGTTTTCATCCAGGTGTTTATAAGGTTGGAAACCTGCCGTCAGCTGAGACTGAAGACGTCAGCTGGATGATGACGAAACGTTTCACACACTGAAAATATCCAGATGAACAGAATCAACCTTTTCAGACTTATTTACCTGGATGATTGAGCGTGCATCAAGACATGTGTACACTATATTAGCAAAATTATTTGCTAGTCTGTCTACATATGTGTACGAAGTTGGGGGACATCCTATTCCTAATCCATGGCTTTAATATGATGTCGGCTCACCGTTAGCGGCTACAGGAAGGCTTTCCACAAGGGTTAGGAGTGTGTTCATGGGAATCTTTGACCGTTGCTCCTGAAGCACATTTGTGAGGTCAGACACTGATGTTGGCTCACAGTCTCTGCTAATTCATCCCAAAGGTGTTCCCTCGCATTGAGGTCAGGACTCTTTGCAGGCCAGTCACGTTCTTCCATCCGTGTAATGCAATAACTTGCTTTGTGACTGGTGCATAGTCATCTTGGAATGGGGAGGGGCTAGGGCTGTTCGATATAACGATATGTATCTGACAATATGAAAACATCTATCGTTTCATTTTACGCTATCGTTTGTTTCGTGGTGTCGCAAAATAAACTGTTTACGGCAATATTCATGGTTCTGATGGTCACTGTAGTTATTATTAATTTTCTCTCTCTCTTATATTTAATATAACCACACTACGGACGGACAAGCGCCTGTTTTTATGCGTTGTCGTTAGCAACAACGACGGTAAAACCATCGCGTGTCCGCTTGTTTATTTTCCACATAAACCTTTCACAATAAAGCTCAAGATCCTGTTGAGACTTTTCAAAATAAACGCAATCACGTGAAAAAGTATGCAGTGTTTATGGATGAGAAGTAAAAAAGAGCCGCCAGGTGCTAAAAAATAAACCTTAGACTCAAACGTTAGAACAGGCTTTTCCCCGCAGCACGCCGTGTAATAAATACAAAGAAAACGGCGGCCGTTACAACCTGTGTCTAAAAATGTGTCGTTTCATGCATCGGTTAAAACACTCGACTCCGGGTACACGGCGCCCAGCTGGAAACACTTCACCTACCCGAGATTCACAGAATTTACAGAAAATATTATTTTTTTGTGATTTATATCGTTACCGGGACGATGGAGGTTTTATATCGGGATATGAGATTTTGGTCATGTCGCACAGCCCTGGGAGGGGCCATTGTCACCTGTTCCCACAAAGTTGCGAGCATGAAGTTGTCCAAAATGTCTTGGTATGCTGAAGGATTAAGATCACTGGAACGAAGGGGCTGAGCCCAGCTTCTAAAAACAACCCTACACAATAGTCCACCGAACTTTGCATGTGGCACAATGCAGTCTAAGTAATGCTCTCCTGGTAACCACCAAACCAGGACTTATTCATACGTTTGCCAGATTAGTCATTGCAGAGAACATGTCTCCACTGCTCTAGAGTCCAGTAGTGGCGTGCTTTAATACCACTGCATCCCACGTTTTGTAATGTGCTTGGTGATGTAAGGCTTGGATGCAGTTGCTCACCCGTTCCTTGAAGCTCTGTATGTGCTGTTCTTGAGCTAATCTGAAGGCCACATGAAGTTTGGAGGTCTGTAGCAGTTGGGCCTCATCTGCTGACCCTGCTCTGACTCACCACTTTGTGTGAGTTGCTGACCTTCCTAAATGAGACACAGGTGAAACTTAAATAGTGGCTGATCAGCCCACAAAAACGCAAAAAGGGATAGAACACACAAATACCCAACTGAAACTAACATAACAAATCCCATCCCCCCCCATGATCCAGAGTTGTGGTATGGCCCAATTTGCAGGTCTCCATATAGGCTTGCTCCGCCCCTTTTCCGCCCCTGGTGGTGGCTGTAGCTCAGGTGGCAGAGCAGGTCAGCCACTAATCAGAAGGTCGGTTGTTCGATCCCAGGCTGCCTCCTGGATGCCAAATATCCTTGGGCAAGATGCTAACCCCGTGTTTGCCTACTGGTGGTGGTCAGAGGGCCCGGTGGCGCCAGTGTCCGGCAGCCTCGCCTCTGTCAGTGCGCCCCAGGGCGGCTGTGGCTACAATGTAGCTGCCATCACCAGTGTGTGAATGTGTGTGTGAATGTGTGAATGACTGAATGTAGTGTGAAGCGCTTTGGGGTCCTTAGGGACTAGAAAAGCGCTATACAAATGCAGGCCATTTACCATTTTCCACCTATTAGCTCATCACTGAGGGACTGGGAGCAGCTGAGGTAACTGAGCAAACAAAGACAGATTAAATCATAAAGACACAACAGTGTAAACTAGACTGTGCACACTTGTTTTAGAATGCAGTGTTCTGTATGTACATTAGTTCTAAATCAAAACAAATTCTTTATTATCCTGTAAATTAAATCCTGTATTTAAAGAAAGAAAAGTGTAGGTGTAGTGTTACGTGTAAGCCTCTACACTGTTTGGCAGATATTCCCACGTGTGGCTGTAACTGCAGCCATCACACTATAATACCACGTCACTGTAGAACATTTAGCAGCCAGAAAATTTCACCACTGCACTTCAGTTCAATGTCTTTTCTATAGCGCCAGTTATCTATACAACAGTTGCTTCAAAGTGCTTAAATCACGGTGAAATTCAGTGAACTCCTGAGAGCAACCCATCCTTTCACAAAGTGTCCGTAGAAGTGCTCAGCATGTTGGGTTTTATACACCTGAGGCTGTAGAAGTGATTGTACCAATGATTTGGATGGGTGAGTGAATACTTTTGGCAATAATATAGTGTATGTCTTTGAATACTATGTATGTTTTGTATTTATGTGTATATGTGATCATGTCTCTGTGTGCATCAGTCTTGGATACAGCAGGTCAGGAGGAGTTTGGTGCGATGAGGGAGCAGTACATGCGGTCTGGAGAAGGCTTTTTACTGGTGTTTGCACTCAATGACCGTGGCAGGTACGTGTGTGATGTTTGTTTGTATGTCTCTTGTATAGAGTGCTATAAAGTTATACTCTAAAGCTATGTACACATGATGTAGCGATGTGGCAGCTAGAGACCACAGGAAGCAAGTGACTGAAGTGACTGCGAGTCAGCATTAAGAATAGAATAGCCTTTTATTGTCATTGTACATGTACAAAGAAATTATGGGTGCACCATGCGCCCACCGGGGCCACGCGCCTGGGAGTGGAAAAAAAAAATAGTAGAGATATCAGGAATAAAGCGCAACCAAAAGACGTATATACAGTCTAGAGAAATATATAGCCAACAACAGAAAGGGACATGTTGGAGAGCAAAGTGCTAGGTTGGAGGTAGCACAAAGGAAAGACTTGGTCTGCATAGAGTCCATCTGTGGTTGGCCTGAAACATGAGGGTAACTGAGACCATGGCCCAGGGTACGCAGCTGTTAGTGAGTCTGGGGGTGTGGGACCCAGACTGAAGACCACTGAATACCATCGATTGAGATGTGACCTGGTAGGAAATATCTTAGAGGCTCAACTGGAACCTGGAATCTCTTCAACCAGTCATCATCTTCAAAGTGATGTGCGATGAGCAGGCTGGTTCCTGTGTAGATGCAGTTTCATTTCTAGTAATATTTCCTTAGAGAAGGATGTATAACATGACAAGTCCAGCTCTGTGAAACCAATTCTTGTGTACAGAAAGGTCCTGGTTTCCATTAGTAAGTTGTTCCTGGGTCAGGTTTCACTTCATCTTTTTTCTTCTGTTTTGGGTGCTTTTCCTCCTGGGCACTCTTATGGTCCAGCTTTTGGTTTCTAATGTATTACTTCATATAAAAGACTGTCCCCATTCTCAGGAGGAGGAGAGAACCACAACTTTAGAGTGTGATGCAAAAGCCACATTTTATTCATCTGAAACTCAATTATGGACAAGAAGGACACAAATGTAACCTCTTTGTAATAATCTGGTCCTGTGTTATCTTTTGCCCATTTACTCTCAGAGCACCTGCACACTACACTGCAGTACAGGGGGGCGTGGAGTCCTCCAGCCTGCATGTCAAAGTATCTTTGAGCAGATGGTGCACACAGTTGCCGCCAGTGCGTCACAGTGTGTGTGAATGTTATATGACTTGTAATAGAAAGTGCTTCAAGTACTTAATTAGAACTGAAAAGCTGCATCTGTAAGTCCAACACTTCAGAAGAAACTCACCGTAGCCTCTGCTGTTTGGTAATGAATCTTTTTCAGCTTCAGCCGAGGGTTGAACCAGGAACAACCACACAGTAACAAAAACAGACTATTTAACAACACAATATGTTAATATATAAGGAATAAGGAAGACTTTGTCTGGAACTATTAAAATGGATATGAAGGGCTGTTTTAATCTGTGACTGGTAATGATTTCTGTCCTTCCAACTCTCAGCTATCATGAAGTCCAGAAGTTCCACACCCAGATCCTGAGAGTGAAAGACAGAGATGATTTTCCCATGGTGCTGGTTGGAAACAAGGCAGACCTGGAACAGCAAAGAGTGGTAACTAACAACAACCGATACTCCTCTATAATGTCATTTTTCTTCTATTCCAGATCTACTGCAGAAGGGAAGTTCTGGAATCTCAACAGTTTAGGAGATATCTGCAGTTTTATAAACAACTTTTCTGGCTTAGTCTCATTTATTCCACAAATTATTATACAAGCAGAATCAACTCCCGTAACTCAGGAGCTCGAGGCATCCACTTATCAAATGTCCAAGGTTCCAATTCCTGTAATCTGACAGTTAAAGTGTGCCTGTGACAATGAGCCTGCACCCCAAATTACTAAAAATAATATAGAGGAAGATTGGAAAATACAGATGCCAGTCCATTTACTCTATTAATAATTGGACCACTGGTCCTGAAAGGACTGGAAAACCACAGCTCAACAACGTACAGACGTGGACAAAACTGTTGGGACCCTTCAGTCAATGAAAGAAAAACTCATAATGCTCACAGAAATAACGTTAATCTGACAAAAGTACAAATAAATACAAATTCGATGAATGTTAACCAATGAAAGTCAGACCATGCTTCAACAGAATTATTTAAAA